ACTACACTTGATCTTAGCCAAAAGGCCGAGAAAGGTATGCTTTTCTTCATCTTGGGGTTTGGTTTTTGTAACAGTCTAATGTTTGGTTATTTTGTCTAGTCTAGAGATGTGGGATGCCTCTGAAGTCTGAAGGAACCTTCTTTTGTGGATTGTTCATTTCTGCCTTGTTTAGATTGTTGGAAATGGTCCTACCAAAATAATCTATATCTTTCACTTGAAGCCTCAAAACATAAACTGTCCCCGCATTATACATAGAACGCAAGTCATTCACAGATTATAAATCACCTCAAAACACAAGATTCTGTTACATTTTGAGATAAGGACCTTCACAATCCACCTTTGTGCATCATCTTGTTTCATCCATCATGGCCTTCAATTTGTTAGTCTGTAACCTTAAGCCTAATCTCTCTGCCGTGCTTCTGCTCCTCCACATTTCTTTTTTGGGAAAAGGCAAACAATAAACATCAATAAGCATAAAGAAGTATGCCAAGGGATATCTAAAACTATGACAGAAAAATCTTTTGGACATCGTCCTAAATGTAAAACAAGGGAGAATCACAAACTTCCCTCCCAATTTGGCTTTACATCAGTAGGCATCCAGCACTTGGAGAAAACACACTTCACTCCACATAAAAAGACTTGTATGCAATCCTGATGACACCTGACTAGTTTGCAATCCTCTTTTTTCTTTCTATTTTTGCTGGTGTTTCAGATGTAGTCATAAGTTTCTTCCAGCAAGTTTCTAAGACAAATGGAATGGAGATTTAACAATATGAAATCTGAACACGCTAGAACTGGTGCACGATGACCAAACAAGATAACAGAAACTATCACAGAAAAGTAACCCACTTCTTTTTAGGGTCTTATTAATAGAAATCATATGTCATGAGTAAAAGGTTTTATTAATAACTACTACGTCATTTATTGATCCTCTTTTCAGGCAAAATCAGCTAAAGCCACTAGATAACGAACCTGAACCATAAAGTCAGTTTTAACAAGGATTGGAGGGGTGTGCCAGCCCAAGGCTTGTAGTGCAAAGGCAATGCTCAAAGGCCACAATAATGGGTATTTCCCCATAAAAAATAAGATTAATGACCAGTGAGCCAATGGCCCACATATCAATATCAGATGTTGAAATGATAAGAATAGATGCTACAGTTTATCTTCGCCAAAAGGCCGAGCAAGATATGCTTAGTTATTTCTTAGAACTTCTTTATTGCACTCTCGTCTGGATTATTTTCCATTATCAAGGGATGGGGGATGCATCTGAATGAACCTCTTTTGCTGGTTCCTCTTGTGTATTGTCAGAAGCTTTATCTTCCATTTTAACTTTGTAACTAGTCAGCATCAGTCCTCAAACAGAATGCTCTTAGATCTTCATGTAAATACCTCAGAATCAACCTTTTTTTCCTTTTGTGCTTGATACCATTTCATCCATGGTCGCCTTCGATTTTGGAAGTGGACTCTTATTGCTTAAGGGAAGGTCAATATACTAGTATTCTGTCCAGTAACAAAATATATATGACATTAGACCACATACCCGCTAGATGGTATGAAACTGAAGAAGAAAATACTCATTTGCATTCACCATTTCAACAGATCGATTTGGCAAAATTGGAGTCAGATTACTGATTACCCTGCTCTTCTTAAGTCTACAATCTTCTTTTACTGCTTCTGCGTTTTCTAATTGTTCAAAATGAATCGATGACCGAAAAAATGTTTAGATGATTTGTTTGGATGTCAAAGTCCGTGTACGTGTTATTCCAACAACTATTCTAGTCCTCCAATCAACTGCTTTTGAAAGCAGTACACCGAACATTCCAGGTTTCAAGGGACTCCAGGCCTGTATAATTTGCAGACGTAACTGGCTCATGTATATTGCCACAAAACATAAAGAGAACTCTTATTAGTTCTTTTAGGATAAATGAGATTTCAACAATGTTCAATAGTAGATTTATTTTAGCCCTTGCTAGTTTAATTGAGTATTAGTAACACCTAACTTGTTTATGTGAATGAAATCTACTAAGGCCTAAGGGTATATTAACCCTTTTTAAAGATACATTAGAATCAGCATTCTATCAATAAAGGGTTTAATATACCTATAAAGCTCCAACCTTTAATTTGTAAAGGGCTTAATATACCTGGCAAAATAATTTTTAACTAAGATTGGAGGGGTGAGCCAGGTCAAGGCAATAGTGCAACACCAAGGCGACTCTTAAAGATCCCAATAGCAAGCTATTGTGATGAATCTCTCCCCATAARAAATAAGATTAATATCGAGTGAGCCGATGGCTCACATATCAGATATTAAACTGATAAGAACAGATACTACACTTGATCTTAGCCAAAAGGCCGAGAAAGGTATGCTTTTCACTCTCTTGCGACTTTGTTTTCATAGTGGATCCCCTCTCTATATTTTTTCATCTTCAAGCAATGTGGGACTCTTCTAAATGAACTTATTTCAGCTTTAATATGCACTTCTTTCCATGCCCATGTATTTCTTAGAATTCCACCAGAAAGTTAATGCACCAGTTCTAACATACCATATTTGTTTCCGTTTTTAGCAGCTTTCTTTTCATTTGAATAATACTAAACTAATAAGAACAAATACTACACTCACTATTGTTTTGATGTGACGTATCCATTTTCTCTGACCAATATTCATTTTTTGTGCGTGATTGTATTTTTCTCTGCACTGCATTTCAAGATACACCCAAAATGATTTCATGATACGGACACCGTGCTAGGTTTCCAAGAGGCTTGGGCCTACAGTATATTTGGTTTTTTCAAATGAAATTGATATTGCAATCTAACGATTGATGGTTTCTAGCAATTAGAGAAGTTGGGTTCTCCCTTGGCTCATGCCAAATTCAGTGTTCACGAATCAGATACCCTCTCCTACTCAACCCATTTATTTAACAAACTCTCATTGCTATGCTACCCTTTTCACCCCTACACCTGTTAAAGTACTACTGCTATTATATCCTTATAGAAGATACTACCGTTTCTACCCCCTTACTCATCTTAGCCAACGTAACTAATAATAGCTACCAGAGGATAACAGTTTCTTCTAGAGTGTTTTCTAGCATAAATAAATGAAGGATTTAACAATGTTCAATTGCAAATGAAATTAGAACATGCTAGAACTGGAGATGTGGGATGCCTCTGAAGTCTGAAGGAACCTTCTTTTCTGGGTTGTTTCGTTTCTGCCTTGTGCAGATTGTTGGAAATGCTCCTACTGAAATAATCAGTTATCTTTCACTTGAAGCCTCAAACATAAACTCTCCCCACAAAACACACAGATCATAAATCAGGTTCAATCAGACCTCAAAACACAAGATGCAGTTACATTTTTAGGAGTAAATAGCTACATTAACTACCAGCCTTCTACATGCTCATTTTCTGAATTAATTAGTGAAAGCTGCTTTTGTACAATCTACTTCAGCCCCTTTTAGTGATTCATTTCACAAGGAAAGCTTTGCTTGGTAACCATGACGAATAGTAGATTCTAAACTTGAGCCGAACCTCAATTTTGTTCAATGGTTATCAAAACCAAAACTGAAGCTAAAAACGGACAATTTTTTTTTAACTATAATTGGAGGGGTGAGCCAGGCCTAAGCAATAGTGCAACACCAAGGCGACTCTCAAAGACCCCAATAGCAAGCTATTGTGA